CACAGCAATAGAAACTTTTCTTTATTCTTCCATTGTTGGCTACCAAGTGGGTCCCCTAACTTAACTATTATGAATAGTGGGGCACTAAACTCATTTAAGTAGCTCCATGATAGCAACATGTCTTTCCTTAAAGAAAGAGGTGGAGACCCATCTGCCACACCACCATCGATGGAAGAGAAAATCTATACCCAAAACCATCAGTTGATTGGTGGATTAATTCCATGATGTTCTCAGGCTGCAGACAAAACTGAAATAATTGGAAAAAATCATTAGAAATTTTTAACAGGGGAAGATGGATGGAAGATGAAGGGATGAAAGGAAAAGATGCAGGTATGGGATAGTTTAGAGATTCTGATATTATAGAGCAAAGTATGGCAATGTAGACTCTCTAATCTCAGCAAGGAAAACAGCATTTTTATTTTAAACATAGTCCCTGAGGATACATCACAGTTAGACATTGTATTAAATTGCAAAAAAAGGCCAGAACACAAACTTAGCCAAGTGGGGTCTGGAGATATTTGAGGAAAGGCAGCAATGAATCAGCACCTGAGACGATGAAGGACATGACAGAAGACAACAGCAGAGCTACTGTTAAGAGCTCCTTGCCTGCAAGTAAGGAAAAGTGATCAGCACAAGTATAGGTAAAGTCTGGTCACTTTCTAGGGAGGTTGGAGTGGCAAGGACTGAGGGAAGGACCTGACCATCAGTTGTTGGAGCAGGATACGGGTGACTTCTTGCAGATCCAGAAATTCTTTGAAGAACAGTTTTTGTCATTCCAGCCATCATTTGTCAGTTCTGCACAGTCTTTCTCTGAATCATCTTCAGTTGCCCATGAGGCCCAATATTTGCTGTTAAAGCTGCAAAGGTCATGTATACTGTTAACCTGTGTTTCTCCCCTCATTTATGAATGGTTTCAAGCTTCTGAAAATTAGATGTCTTCATATCTTTGTCCTAGCCCCAATAACTTGCTTAATGAATCTTCTGCCTATTGTTGGACAGAGAATTCCTCTTGCTGAAGGTATATTTATACACAAATTAGTTAGTTGAGATTTTATATCTCAACAGCATTATTGGGCTTTTGTATTCTGGTTGCTATGTACCCACTTTTACCAAACCAGGCAGAAGGAGATAGCTAGGAATAGAATTCACTGAAATGATTCAAATTGGCTAATCCAAACCTCATTAACTGTTAATTTAGTCCTGTCTATACAAACAATGATGAAGGCTCTTGTCCATATTTTCCGTCTCTCTAGCCATGTTGTGGTTGAGCCTGGCACTTATGCATGTGGTTACTCAAGATGTAGTGTACACCCTCTCCTTTGGGAAATCAAGAGTCTAATCTTTTCAGTAGCAAACATGTCTAGAAGTATTGGCTTAATCATAGAGCAGATTCTTATTTTAGGATTTATTTTAAGTGTGTGTGTGTCTGTGTGTGTCTGTGTGTGTCTGTGTGTGTTTGTGTGTGTATATTATTTGGATCCCCTGAAGTTGGAGTAACAGCTGTCAGTGAACTGCTTAACATGAGAGCTGGAACCCTAATTTAGGTCCTTTGCAAAAACCGTACATACATGTAAGTACTAAACCAACTACTTAGATTTTAGATTCTTTATACCATGCTATATTTGTTTCTCAGACTCCAAGCTCTTCCTGAATCTCTACTACTAGGGTGTCAAAACATCTGTCATCTTACCTAAACATGAGCACAAGCCCCCCTTCTGCTTATTTAGCGACATATTTTTATGTCTAAGGGATAAAATCTCTAGGCAAGAATATTTCACATTAGAGTTTCAGACACCAGTCTCACAACCCCATTCCACCCTTGTTTTTTGACCTACCTTGGTGACAGAGGTGAACCATCCACCCACTGCCATGAGCTGTCCTGTTTTATGTCTGACAGCCCAATCCAGAGATCGCCTCTAATTAACTGCATCTTCTGTAGAAAGGCCTAAAAGTGGAGAAGAGTAATTGAGATAGAGATGAGTATTTGAATTTCCATCCAGTAGAGTTTCTGGAAACTCTAAAGGGGAAGATCTATTTGCAGTCAGACCTTCTAGGTCTGATTATGATTTCCAGCATGTGTTCAGGAGAGCTGAGTCCTCCCATGTCTGTGCCCAATAGGCAAATGACTTGCACAGAGAAGTGCACAGCTGGCATCTTGTCACATATACTTGTTTTTACTGCATGTTTCTCTGGCTTGTGAGTTTTAGGAATGTCTATTTGGATTTTCCCACAACTGACTGAATGTGTATGCGCCATATTCTAGCAATTGACCAATGGCACACAACAGACTTTTCCCTCTACAAAGCAATTTGTTAAGTACTAGTCAATCTATTATAGGAATTCTTTATATTTTCAAGTCTTCCTCCAAATCTTACACACATAGTCAAGACTTGTTTGGTCTGTGTGTGTGTGTGTGTGTGTGTGTGTGTGTGTGTAAGGTATTTGTGATTCCCTAATTCACTGCCTTCTTCTCTTCTATCTTCCCTTGAAAATATATGTCTATCCATCTTAATCTACTTGTCCTGTAGTAAAATGCATATCCCTTATCTGTATCACAATTCCTCCTCCAAGGCTTTGGAATTATTAGGAAAGAGGGACAGAAAGATTGTAAGACCCAGAGGTAGTGGACATCTGAGGTGAAATAGACAGGACAATGTAGCTGCTTGTATTACAAATGCTAATTATGTTTCCCCAAACCTGCTTGTACAAGAGGGTCTAAACGTAGTTTCTGGAAACCTGCCCCCAGTTGGTTCTGACTGGTTAATAAAAATGCCAGGAGCCAATAGCTGAGGAAGACACACAAGTGGAATTTTAGGATTCCAGGGCTTGGGACCAGGAGGAAAAGAGGGAGGAGATCTGCTATTCCTTAGGAGAGTGTGGAGAGTGGAGAGACACAGAGGCCTTCATGGGGTAGAGAAACAAAGAGAGCTTCCTGGGCTCTGGGTTAAGAAACTGAAGCCCAGAGAGGGCCACAAATGGAGCAGCCAAGATGAGACATAGCAGTTAGCAAGTAGTAACTCAGAATTATCAGTGGGAGGCATATTCTAGCACCAGAGAGGCTAGGCAGTTGCCCAGCTCTTGTCCTGATTAAGGCATATTAAAATACAAAGACTGTGAGTGTGTCTTTCACTTGGGAGCATAAACCTTGAGGTGGGTAGTGAACCCTATGGCAAGATTTATTAATTAATGAATACAACAGGGCAGTTACACACATGAACTCACAGTGCTGCCACAAGGTCAAGCCAGTCAAAGTCAGCTTAGACAGTAGAGAGGCTCATGGAGTCCCACCCTCATCTAAGGAACTATTGACAAGTGATAGATTGTAAGGAGAAAAAATAAGTGTTTTCAGACATGTAACTCCTGAGAGACTACCCATGTTTCAGTAGATATTCTTATGCTTGTGGACATGTAGGCAGCACTAAGGGGACTCCATGACTTTAGAAAGAGAAAGTACACGACATTGAAAGGGAAAAGTGTTGAGATAATAAGAAAGGAATTGGAAGGGAGAGAATAGGTTTAATCAAGAAACACGATATGATGCATGAAATTCTTAATAATAAAAAGAAGCATGTCTCACTCAAGAATCAGGCATACCTGCTCCTCCTCACTCTCAATGGTGATTAGTTCGGCCCCTACTTCCTTGCAAGCAGTGAGAGAATCATTCCAGTTACGTTTAGTTATGGAGAAAAAGTAACAATTTCCATGGAAAAGTATCCAGTCCCAGGAGCAGGGACGGCACAGGAGGTCTGTTGGGGAAGGATAGTTAGAATGAACCCATACTTGGTTGTCTGTATTACTGTGTCTGCTCAGCCTTCAAACCCTCCAGAGTTATGGACCTTCAACCACACATGGGAGGCATTACCCTCTCTACTTACTAAGTATATTCCTCATACTACAGGAATCCAAGTGTCCTGCCCCAATCTCATCCACACTAGAAGAAGTAGGAGCTACATTCTCTGGAAACTGGAATAATTGGAATATATGTATATGTATATGTATATGTATATGTATATGTATATGTATATGTATATGTATATGTATATATATATATATATATATATATATATATATATATATATATATAT